GATTATGTTAAGTCTCTGGCTTGTTTTTTTTTTTCCTTGAAATAAAAAAAGTGCTTTGTTATGGACAGTGTTTCTCAGATTAAGGTCCTCGGACCGTCACCGTTCCGGGATTCTTACGTTACCGGTCCACGCATTATATATATATATTTATTTTTTTTTTTTAAAAAAGAAGGAAAAAAAAATTTAAAAAAAAAAAAAAAAAAAAAACTTCATAAATTAAGATTGTTCTTGGCCAAAAATAATATTAACAATAATAAGCCAAAAATCAACGTCAATGTAGGCATCAAGAGGAGCACGGCACAATGACGCTTTAATGTAACATTAAACTTTTTGTAAAACATGTGAAACCTATCGATTACAATACAGAAGACAAAAAAAAAAGCTAAACCAAACTAACCAACAATGTTTCAAAGCTACAAATCCATGCCAAAACCTACAAAATTATATTATGTTTTTAAGAGGAAAAAAAATATGGGGTAGGGGGTTCGCATAAAAGATACTGTAAAATATAGCCATAACGAAACCTGTTATAAAAGCTCAAACTATTGAAAAGGGAATAAATTAATGCCCACAAAAATATACAAAAATGTATGTTTACAATCAGCTTTTCATCTATAAATACACAATAATAACTGAAAAGGTATTTATCTATTATTGTTTTAGAAATTCCATATTTATCTTTCTTTTAACATTTCAATGTTTTTTGTTTTTTTCTACATAGATTTTATAAATATATTTATGTGTTCTAGTTGTTGCATTTTGTTTTTTATTTTCATTTTTTGTTTTCTTTGTTTTGTTTTGTTTTTGGTTGGATTTTTGTTGTTGTTTTTACAATTTTTAATTCATATTCACATTATAATGAAATATCATTACAAAGAATGATCTCCGATACCATTCCTCATTTTATGCTAGTTGGTAGAAGCATTGAGCACTGAAAATGGCTATAAAAATCGAAACTTACTAATTTTTATATTGGACTAATATCATCAAGGGGGAAAAAAATGGCGGGGATATTGATAAGAACTTGGAGTGCTTGCCCCTTGGGGAAGTTTAATCTTTGGTTAAAAGGAATGTTTTCCTAAATTATAATCTACCTATCTGTCTATCTATCTTAAAAGCAAAATACGTACTTTCGTCTACACTGTTAAATGATATTTTGAAAAAAAAATAGACCTTTAAAAATGTAATTAAACAAATTTGCAAGTCAATGAGAGTCTGAGTCTAAGCAAATTATAATGTTATTTTAAAGTGTATTGCCATTAATGACAAAAGTCAATGTGACTAGTTACATATCTATCTATCTATCTATCTATCTATCTATCTATCTATCTATCTATCTATCTATCTATCTATCTATCTATCTATCTTTCTATCTATCTATCTATCTATCTATCTATCTATCTATCTATCTATCTATCTATCTATCTATCTATCTATCTATCTATCTATCTATCTATCTATCTATCTATCTATCTATCTATCTATCTATATATCTATCTATCTATCTATCTATATATCTGTCTATCTGTCTATCTGTCTATCTGTCTATCTGTCTATCTGTCTATCTGTCTATCTGTCTATCTGTCTATCTGTCTATCTGTCTATCTGTCTATCCGTCTATCCGTCTATCCGTCTATCTGTCTATCTATCTATCTATCTATCTATCTATCTATCTATCTATCTATCTATCTATCTATCTATCTATCTATCTATCTATCTATCTATCTATCTATCTATCTATCTATCGATAAACGACGCTGCTGGTTGCTGTCCATCGCGTGTCATGTAAAAGTTCTAGGATGGGTCGTGTGAATATACATTTGATTTTCTTTTGTTGTTACATAGCTTTAAAACAGAATTAAATAATTGAATGTTTTTGTTTAATGTGTTGATTATGTTTGCAAATATTTATATGTACAGCGCGGTGAGGAAGGCCCTAGGCTGGGTGCCGCTCTCTATAAGACCATTAATAATAGTGATAATAACATGTGACACAATATACGTTAGATAAATGCAAACATTTTGTAAACTCTTTTATTAGACGACCGTACGGCTTTGTCTGGCCCAAAGCAGGGGGATGGGGAGACTAAAGAGGGGGTGGGGGGACAATACCTGTGATGGCAGTCAGAACAGGCGCGTTTATGTTGTCTGGATCAAGAGAGAAGCATCATCTGCTGAAACCGAAGGGCAGCCTAGAACGAAGGAGTTGAATTCGATGCAACGGTCATACAGTGAACCAAAAAGAAACATTAACGCAGAAGAAGGTCCACAATATTAGGGTTCATTAAAACAAGGTCAAGGTAAAAAAACAACGGGCTCAATAAAAATGGGGAGGATCCATAACCTTTGAACTTATATATTAACAAGGATCTTTTTCATGAAATACTACATTTTGTTAAGATAATAATCGTGTCCTTCATTTTCCGTTAAACATATTTGATTACCATCTGGTCTGTCCTTTATATTCAAACAAATGTGAAAAACAATATTGTAAACAATTTTTTTTTCATTAAGAATAAAACAAAATCAAGAAAGAATTGAGATATTTGTTTGTTTATTTTTTGAAATGTTATTATGTTTTTATTTGTAGTTTGTATTTGTGTCAAAAAAAGCAATGTTCATAAATATATACACACAATGCTAACTGAGTCTAAGTCTAAGATGTCTTATCCACATTAACTAACTTTTATGTTGGTTTTTTCAAGTTGATTAAATATATATATATGGAATTTCATAAGTTTAACCTGATAGTTCTAACAATATGTCATAGTTTTGATCGATCAACCTGTATATGAAATAATTGGGCTTTTCTGGGAAAAATTAAGGACAAAATAACTGAACTTGCAATTCATTTTTTAAAATTAAAAGTTCCAAAATGATTTTTTTTCAAAATATGTTAAGATTAACAAACTCATTGGAGAACTTAGAATAATACAAAGAAATCATTCAAAACTATTTCTCTATTTAAGTTTAAAATTTAAAAAGTTATGTATTTATTTTTTTAATAATAAAAGAAAAGAACTAAATGTTTATCTTCGAGTCGTCTCAAAATATTTTTTTATTTTTATTTGAACAGTTCTATCGAAACTTGTATATGAGACCCACCCCACCTGATGCGCCCGACTGTTGGTTGTATTCGGCCTGTCCTCCAACGCTGAGGTTATCTTTAGTATAACCGACGGACCCCTTGGCACTCCAGCCTGCGCTTGAGTCATACGTTGCCGAGCCTTGGAGGTCCCAATGGGGTCCGCGTGCCTCGTACGCGCCGTGAGTGTCCCACTGGTCTATTATTTATTTTAAAACAAACAAACATATATGAATATGATTGTATCTTTCAATTTCTATCATAATAATGCTGCGTTTAATACAAACTTAAGACTTAATAATCACGTTGAGGAATGCAAGGGTTGCAATGAAATGACTTTTTTTGTGTGCAATGCAAATATATATATATATATATATATATATATATATACACATACATATTTAGAGAGATAGGTAGATAGGTAGGTAGGTAGTAGATAGGTAGGTAGGTAGATAGGTAGATAGGTAGGTAGATAGATAGATAGATAGATAGATAGATAGATAGATAGATAGATAGATAGATAGATAGATAGATAGATAGATAGATAGATGGATAGATAGATAGATAGATAGATAGATAGATAGTTAGATAGATAGATAGATAGATAGATAGATAGATAGATAGATAGATAGATAGATAGATAGATAGATAGATAGATAGATAGATAGATAGATAGATAGATAGATAGATAGATAGATAGATAGATAGATAGATAGATAGATAGATAGATAGATAGATAGATAGATAGATAGATAGACAGATAGATAGATTTTTATATCAACAGCACTACTTATGTTTCTATATTAACTTACCATCTCTACGCATCTGGTTCTGAGGAATAGAAATTAATTTTTTTTTTGACTATTTGATTATTTTTATTTTTATGAGTCATTGACCTATTGTTATTTTAGAATGCACACTGAATGACAAGTTAAATCTGCTTTGAGCGCTAGATTTTATTCCTTTTAGGGGTGATGCTTAAATTAATTGCATCTCTCAGAAATGCCTTTAATCAAAGATAGATAGATTGCTTTTTGGCTTAGAAAGCCGTCAGGCTATATTCTGAACTGTGATCATATAAATATGCAAGCTTTTTGCTAATAGGATATAAGCTTTTGTAACTTGCTCAAAGTTTCTAAATTGCAATAACAATAGAAATGCTAAACTTATAAAAGTTGGTTAAATGATTTTGATTGTTGTTTTTGTTATAAATAATTATTGTCAACCTTTGTAATTAATGAAATCCAACATCACCTGCCCACCTACTGGTGACAAATAGCACCCCTGATCACATACACGGTCACATGTGACATACACAACTTCTGATTACACATAACACACAGTTGATCTGATGCGCGGGCAACATGGGGTCAGTTATCGTGGAAAGTTGTCCACCCTGTTGATCAGGGGGTCGCTTGGCCATCGCGACAGCTGACATCTCAGTCAAGTCTACTGCTGTGTACTCATTGTTGGTGTCCGAGAAACGCTTGGTTCTATTTTTAAACAGCTATACATGTGTGCTGGAGTTCAATTGCAGCCAAAGCCAACTCAAGCAAAAACACCACCAGCACCCCGGATGGAAAGGATCAGTCCACCTTGGTTGGCAACTTCATCTAAGTGAAGGAAACTCGGCAATCAAACCCGGAGTGTCGAAACGGATAACATTAGTATAGTGAAACATTCCGACAACTGCTGCGACGCCACTTATGCCAAAATGTATCATCCAAATGATGTTCCCTTGGATTATCCACCCGCGTGAACAGAGGCGATTTGCTGTTGGGAACAAGCTTATAATCCTTGAATAATAATCCCAGAAAATGTTGATTTCATTCTGCGAAGCTCACACCATGGTCACATTGTGATGGAAGGATGCCAGCAGCACAAAGAAAAATGTGTGTATGGATAGTTGACTTACCCTTTTGTTGACAACCCGGTTATGCATATGTAGACGGTAGATGTCAACTGAAAATAAGAATGAAACTTTTGGATAACTTGACGTTGGATATGGAATTCAATATTTCAACATTAAAAAAAAAAGGTGGTTTGAATGTTATTCCCTTTCAAATGAAACTCTTCTTAGTTTGCACAAATGACACGTCCTTTGTTTTACAGTATTTACATTTCAATTAATAAAAATGACCTATGAATAGATGAGTTATAAAGTGTGCGGATTACAAATTAAACATATAGTCTATACATTTGTTCATAAAAAAAAAAAATTTCTGGCTGAAGATTAAGTAAAAAAAACAAGAAAAAAATCAAAACAAGCAAACAAAACAAAAACAACACTGAATACTTGGTCAAATACTAAAGAAACAATCAGACATATTGTCAAACATTAATTGGTGTTATACATAGACGGTAGCATGGACACGATACAAGTGTAATCCATTAACCAATTTGTAATAGTAGTGCATGTTTTGTTTTGTTTTTATTAAAATAAAGGTTTAATACAAGAACTTAACCAAAAATATATGTGTTTTATCAGGGGTCTCCAGACTTTTTTCATGGCAGACCAGATAGCGGAAAAAAATGACAAACGCGAGCCTGATATTATTTCTGCACAATAATTTTTAGCCAGAACGAAAGCTCGTGGAAAAAGGCGAAAAACTCATTTTAGTATTCCATTTTAATCATGGGTGATTGGCGTGCAATGTACAAAATACAAAGACTACCAACATATTTATTTTCTAAAAAAAAAGTATCAAAGGAAGTGACATTGACAAAAATATATTTACATCAGACCTAGTGCGCACATTTTCGAATATCACAAAATAGGCAGCAAAAAAGTTAGGGAGATTTATGAAAGTTATGTTTGGCTTTCAAGATTTCATCAATTTTCGGTATCGATTTGCTGCATCCAATCAAGAGAATTGTTTAAATGTTTATCAGTCACTCTCGTTCGAAGGCTAACTTCAGATACTGCATTATTGAAAATGTTTGCTCACAGACATAAGTTGTCCCAAACAATGATCTCATACCAGTGGCAAAGAACTCCCCTTTTAGAAACTCAGTATCAGGTTAGCAGAAGTAAATTTGAACACGCTTTTCTTCTCTAAAGGTACACATGCATTTTTTCAAGCAAATTCAAGTACCTTCAGTGGGCCCGCGGTCGTATTTTGGAGACCCCTTGGTTAAAATGATAAATTGATTATTAATTTCCGTATGTTGAAAGTATTCTTAGAAAAGATTACAAGACAGCTCGTATCAATGGCCGCACTAACAATACCAACCACACTACCCACACTAGCCGCACCAATCACACTAATCACACTAACCAAACTAATAACACTAACCACACTAACCAGACTAACCACACTAATCATACTAACCACACTAACCAAACTAACCACACCAACCACACTAACCACACTAACCAGACTAAACACACTAACCACACTAACCACATTAACCACACTAGCCGCACTAATCACACTAACCACATTAACCAACATAATCACAATTACAATACAAAGCACCAACCACACTAACCATAATAAAATAAACTAGCTGCATCAACCACACTAATAAAAAAAACTATCCACACTAACCACACTAACCACAATATCCAAACTAACCACACTAACCTAAAAAACCACATTAACCAAAATAACCACACTTACAACACAAAGCACCAACCACACTAACCATAATATAACAAGCTAGCTGCAAAAAAAAAATCAAACTATCCACACTAACCACACTAACCACAATATCCAAACTAACCACACTAACCACACTATCAAAACTAACCCCACTAACCACACTAACCAAACATACCACACTAACGACACTAACCACACTATCCAAACTAACCACACTAACCACACCATCCACACTAACCAAACATACAACACTAACGACACTAATCACACTATCCAAACGAACCACACTATCCACACTAACCACACTAACCACACTAACCACACAAAACACACTAACCAAACTAACCACACTAACCACACCAACCACACTAACCAAACTAACAACACTTACAATAATAACTAAATTAACCACACTAACCACACTAACCAAACTAACAACACTAACCAAGTAAACCACACCAACCACACTAACCACACTAACCACACATTCAACTAACCACACTATCCACACAAACCACACTAACCACACTTACCACACTAGCATCACTAACAACACTAACCACACTAACCACATTAACAACTCTAGCATCACTAACCACACTAACCACACTATCCAACTAACCAAACCAACATGACTAACCTCACTAACCACACTAACCACACTAACCAAACTAACCACACTAACCACACTAACAAACTAACCACACTAACCACACTAACCACACTATAATCACTAACCACACTAACCACACTAACCACATTAACAACTCTAGCATCACTAACCACACTATCCAACTAACCAAACCAACATGACTAACCACACTAACCACACTAACCACACTAACCACACTAACAAATTAACCACACTAACCACACTAACCACAATAACCACACTAGTCACACTAACCACACTAGCTACATCAACCACACTAACCACACTAACCACACTAACCACAACAACCACACTAACCACACTAACCACACGAACCACACCAACCACACTAACCACACTAGCCACACTATCCAACTAACCAAACTAACCAGACTAACCTCACTAACCACACTAACCGAACTAACCACACTAACCACACTAACCACATGAACCACACTAGCCGCCGTAAATGTCCAAACTGGTTTTGTACTTATGCTATTTAATTAATCTTATCTCTGAGACATATAGGTTTATATAGAGTAACGTGTACCATTTAATTAACAATTAATTAAATTCATGATACCCTAATATCGAAAAAATATTTTAGCATAAATAGACATCTCATTAGTATTTAATTTACAGCGCTTAACTTCAAGATTGCCCAAGTTAGTGCAGTCAGTGTATGTTAACAAATAGCAACAATGGATGATGTTACTAATTGTCAACAATTATTTATTTTTATTATTAATTTAAAGAGAATTGGAAAACAAGTAATTAAGTTTCATGATTATGTTACTAACTACTCAGAGAAAGATCAATGGAACTTAATTTATGTACTGACCTACTCTGGCCGATGAAGATTTGATAATATCACACAAATGAATGACAACCTTGAAGTATATTGCTCCTTTGCCTGTCAAAATTTAAAATTTAACTAAATCAGTTATTTTCATACATACGAAAAATGAATTATTTACAATTCCTTGTCATTAAAATTCAGTAAAACATCAATTTAGATAATATTTTTTTCTCTCCAGTTACTGTACTAAAAAATATTTGAAGGCAGAGTTGTATCATGGAAATACGTCGATCTCAACAAAAATTAAAAATGGTCCATCATCAACCTAAGGAGACATGATTAATATGTTATTTTAAGACATGTGTAATTTTTCATTTATCCATAAATCAGTTGCGTAGCTAGGGTTGGTGTCACTCCGTGCAGTAAACTCATGTTGTCATCCAACTATCCCCAACTTCCACGGCGGATTTGTTCTTGTAAAATTAGGTCACAGTAAAACAAAAATCACAAGAACAAAAACAAATTTATATTTTAGGTCGGGAGGTAAATATATTCAAAAACTATATCAGGTTCTAAAAATCGCCAGACCGTATTGGTATGGAAAGCTTTATTTCTCATAATTTAGATACATATAGCTTTCTCTCAATTACAAACGTTACAGGGCACTTCATTCGGCGTTAAATCATACTCAAAATGTTTCTTGTCTGACTAAATATAAGGTAACCTCTTTTCTAAAGCATCAACTTTGAAATTTTAATAAAGCACGCATTGTTACAATGTGGATAATTTACTCGAGATCGGTCGTCATTTTATAAAATTCAATTAGACCGATATGTGTGTAAATATGCAATTTTTCAAGATGGTGTAACCCCATGAACTGGTGTCACCCGTTGCGGTCTGCACTGGCGTACTCCGGTAGATACGCCACTAATTAGGACAAAATGTTGAAATATTGCTTAATTTTTTTTAACGCATTAAATAAGTAATATATGTTTATACATCATGCAGTAGGCGTTTCAATGACATTATGGTTTACTTATTGTTAGATGCCTGATGTTCAACACCCATTTGATGAGGGACGCGATTTCATAATCTGAAAATTTTCCAAGCCCCTTTGGAAACATCCTGCATTAAGTATATAAACCGGGAGATGTGCCAGCTGGTAATTGTGTCCCCTTCAAGAGACGCCTATCGGACGTGTAGTGTCTTTCAACACTCTCGGTACTATATATATATATATATATATATATATATATATATATATATATATATATATATATATATATATGTGTGTGTGTGTGTGTGTGTTAGTATGTATAATATATGTATACATATACGTATATTTAAGAAAGTTAATGCCTTACGCTCAATTCACAGTGGCAACAATTAAGATTATTCAAAGGGCAGAGTATAATAAATAAAGGGCTGCGTTCCAGCTGTGTGAACCAGTAATTTTCGTTTGTGAAAGACCTTGATTCAAGAAATAACATTAAGCTACTCTTTTTTTTAGTTCTTCTTGTTTTTTCATTAGTCCTGTTTGGTGAACGAGGCTCTTAGCTGACAGGTTCTGCTCTTATAAAGAGCACCAAACTGTGCAAATGGGTGTTCAGGAACATAGCATAATTAACAAAGAAAATAATTTAGATTTTTTAAAACAATGGTAGTGACTTTTTTTTTATATATCTACGGAAATAGAATATCATAAAAATAAATCTTCTTATAGGTAAGTCGTTGTTATCATTAATATAAAACTATTATGATGAATGATAAATGAATTTTATAACAAATATTTAAAAAAAAATTATTAAAGTACGTATCATCGTCTTTAGTCATGTTTTAAATAATAATGTGTGGAGATGAAAGAGGTCTGCGATTTTTAGTTTTAAAAGTAACGTGGGCTTAATCTACGAATATAGTAATATCACAAAGCCCAAATATGTTACACACCAGAAATATTTTTAAAAGTTGGTTTTAAAACAAAAGAAAGAATGTTTTTGTTAACTTATTCCGAAAACATATTTAAGAGACATGGAATGGTTTATTCATTTAAAATGGTGGAATTTATCTATAAATCCCATGATATTACAAAAGTTTAAATGAGTTTCGAGACTTCATTATAAAATAAATAAACATGCGTTATGCCTTCTTTTCTTTTTAAACATAAAGAAAAAAAATTATTAACTGTTTCATAAATATACATTTAAAGGGCATGGATAATTTTTTTTTCATTTGTTTGCTGTTTTCTTTCTGAAAATGCAGTACAGCAAAACCTTTTACCTTGAAGTTTCTGAATTTCCTCGGCACAATCCATTAAGATTTTTAAAGCTGAAGACACTCTAAAAGCCTCGTCTATCCAAATATCTGCATAGTTGAATTACAAAAACTTTTCATTACACGAAAGAAGCAGTAAGAAGAAGATTCCTTTTAATATATATGTTTTAAAAAAAAAAATATTGTTATAGTTCATGTATAGGATTATTTTATTTATTCATTTTTTTTTTACTTTAAAATAAAACTGATTTTTGTTTGGAATGTTCCAAAAGTTGTCATTGAAAGATGAAACCATATGTTTTTTTTTGTTAAGGATTTGAATGTATATTGTGATGGCGTGTTCTTTGAAGTGTTGTAGTATAGATGTTGTTATTGAGTGTTTGATATTTTTTTAAACTATTTGCCAAAGGGGATATGATGTGTTGTTGTGAGTAGTGTGGTCTTGTGAGTAATGGCAGTTGAGATCTAGTTAATAAAGATACTGTGTTTTAATACTAATAATTAATGTTTTGTGAAGTGAATATAATTAACCACTAGAAAGAACGAAGCCATCGAATATTCTGGTAGAGCTGTGGTCGTGACAGCCTTTTTTTTATTTGTCTCTTGTAAAAGTAAGTATTCTATGTATATTTATATGGTTTTTGTATACTTTTTTTTCTAGAATAAACAATAAATTTTACCTGAATTCAGTAAATCTTCCGGTAAGATGGACGGATACTTTGAAGCCATTTCTCTAAGCATTGCATTTGTCTGGTCATCTGATACTACAGACATTAATGGCAAAGAAATATTGAAGTTCATCACTGTTTTTGAACACAGTAGACAACGAACAATCTTTTTTATAGGAACAAGTTAGTAAATCACAGAATGGTAGTTTTCTCAGTTCTTCGTTAAATTTGAGAGATTCGACACCTTAAAAAAGTTTCTCTTCATCTTTTGTTTTAGGAAATGTATCCTTCTTTCAAATTTTCTATTTAGATTTCAAGGAAGAACTTTTTTATACAACATTTTTTTTGTATCGAATAAAGTTACGAATCAAGTATTTTTTTTTTTAAATTATTGCCTCACAAAGTTAACAATATGTGTATGTAATTTATAATGATTTGACATTCCATGGACTTAAAAAAAAAAGTGAATAACCTACAGGCAGTATGTCTCACATCTAAATCTTAAAACCTTCATATTTTAAATAAAAATAAATTACCCTGCACATTTAAAGTGTTAATATTAAGGTCTACTCAGTTCAGAGTGTGTTAAGGTTACGCATGACTGCATTAACCTGCCATGTTCTTACTTTTCTCCTCCCCCGCACCGTACTGCGCCTGGGCCCCAGTCTTAATCCTGTCGCAATGCTGCATCATTTCTTCTGGTGTAAGACCTAAGGTAAAAGAAACAGACTGGGTATGAGGCTAAAATGAATTAAATATACATTACACGTTAAATAGCTCGAATATTTTAATTAAATTTATCGACACATGGTAATTTTTAAAAAAAAAATGATTTTTTTATTTTTTCATTTCTTGATTTTTTTATTAATTTATTTTTTTTTTTTTAAATTTTTGGTGAAAAATAAAATCTGGCTATTAAGTTAAAGAGTAGATCATAAAATAACTTCATGGAAGTCTTTATTTTTAAAATGAATTAAATATACATTACACGTTAAATAGATAAAAAATAATAAAAAAAATTATAGACACATGGTAATTTTTAAAAAAAAAATGATTTTTTTATTTTTTCATTTCTTGATTTTTTTATTAATTTATTTTTTTTTTTTTTTAAATTGTTGGTGAAAAATAAAATCTGGCTATTAAGTTAAAGAGTAGATCATAAAATAACTTCATGGAAGTCTTTATTTCGAATAGACACTGAGGGTAACTAATTAGAAGATTCACGAACATATATATTTTAAAAATAAAAAAAAAGGTGGAAGTTACCTAAAAGAGCATGTCCCACGAAAAGTTTAATTTCATTGGGGACATAGGATTGATCTAAGAGGTCATCTGGAGGGGCATCCCGACTAACAACTACACCCTTCCAACCACCGATACCACCCCATCCACCACTACTTCCTCCTCCACCAAATCCACCTCCGTCATATATTCCACTACCACCAAAGTCGTCCTGCAATGTAAACCGAACAGTGAACAGACAACACATACATATTAATAATGTGTTATAATTTATATTCAAATCAAATGTAAGCGTTGTGCATTTACAAATATATTTATAAGCTAAACTTCATTCTTTATGCTTGCCCGTCTAGAAGCAAGAGAACTACCACAAATGGTGCATTAATTAAGATAGCTTCTTAAATTAGGTTTAAAAACTTTTTAGTCTCCATTAATTTGGATAGAAAATTTGTATAAATGAGTCTTGCCTTAGTTCATTTTAGCTATTCCTTAATTACTATTTATACGTTAATATGTTTATCAGGTATTAAATGGTGTGTTTCTACTAATCTTACATTTGCAATTTTTTGTGTGTATGTTATCATTTGTAGAATACAGTCGAACCCACTTATCATGACCTCTTTTAACTCGCCAACCCTATTAAGTCGACGTTTTTGAAGTAGAAACGCCAAAATCTATCTTTGTGCTAACATTTTCTCCTCGGTTATGTCAATTTCTTTCATGTCGCTGAACACTGACATCTTGGGCAAAACAAGCCCCCCCCCCCCCCCCGGCATTCCCGTGCATTTTAAAGACTGGTGACAAAAATAGTGCTATGTATAATAAGTAAATCAATATAACTTACCGAGACGTACTTCGCACGGTTGTCCCAAACGTAGCCCGATGCTAAATTCAAGAACACCACACATAATATAATTTCTCTCATATTTTGCTTGGTCCTCTGTGGGTCTTTCGTTTTCTCTTAGGTTCACAATGTTTGGAAGAACAGGTGCATAGTCTATGTCTCATCACATTATTTATACCGTCGGCTTGTGACGAAAACAACCAAACCGGACTTATCGCGTGCTGTCATTTAACTTGAGTATCGTCAATAATAGATTCTCCCACCGTAAGTGTAACTTTTCATTAGCCTTTACGTCTATTTCTGCATGCTTTCACGATCTGGTGTATTTTTGTGACGTCAACACTCCAACTTTGCTCAGACATTCGTGTTTAATTTTTTTTTTTTCTATTCAGAATGTGATCGAGACAAATAAAAGAAGTTCTAATTGGTCCATATCAAATAGGGACAACACAGCAGCCACGATTGATGATTTAATGGTTGTGTCTATTTTTAGCGTAACTTATACAAAAATTTCCCACATCATACATGATTTATGAGAATAACATGTTTACCTCATGAGATCGCTGGATATAATTAACCCATTAACAAATATATTTTGTCATCCTTTTTTTAAGTACCTTTTTTGTGTATTTGATTGAATAAATGATAGATCCTTTTTTTGTTGAGCTTGTTGTGTTCCCACAATACCGACACCTTATTCATATGTTTTGAACACAACCATTTTAGAAAAGATATTAAAGAATAAATACATGCATTTTTAACCCATTTCACAAAGACTTCCTTCATTTTAGTCTCTATGTATAGAGATAATTTATTTTGTTCGTGTGGTAATTTGATTACATTAAATTAATCCCCTATGCGAATTGCCAAGAGTATATCTCATACGAGAGATTATCTGACAAATTTAAAATATAAGTTAGATCACCATATGGATGTAAATGGGGGGCCTGTCCGGGATTTGAAAAAAATATATAGTTTTTAGAAGAATTAGATTGACTGAGAAATATTTTGAAAAATTTAAAATTTTCAAGCGTAAGGTGATTTTCTTTAAGTAAGACCCTATTTTGGCTCTTCTAAAACTGACGTTAATTCTTCATAAGTTATTAAATCAGGTTAACTATTAATACACGTTATTGTTATTAATATTAGTTGTAAAAGTGATATGGCTGTCTCTAAATCATTGGCTCGCCTCACGAGTAATATTGATAAGGTGTGACCAATATTGCTGAATTTTTAAGGCTAAAGCTGGATAAGAAACGAGGGATTGGCTGGTACTGAGTTAATCAAATATATGAACAAGGAATATTAAAAATAAAATTTGCAGAAAGATCAGGAAGACGAGAAGGATCGTGCGAAAAAAGAGACCGATAAGGAGCGTTCGGAAAAAAAGTGGCCGAGAAGAAACGAACGGTAAGAGAGCACGAGTTAAAGCTCAAGGAAATTGATTACAAATTAAAAATGAAAAGATAGGAGTCGAGAAGAAAAAAAAATTAATCCTTGAGGGACGAAGAAAAGGCACCGACTCGTGTTACGGTACCATACCAGTTGCAGCCGTGTACGCCACCAAAATTTGAATCGTTGACCTATCATTATTATCCCCACTGGTCTCAATCGATGAACAGGTAGAGAAAAATTACGTTTACCTAAATCGTTTTGAAAGGTTGGGCCGCAAATATGAGCTTCGAGTGAAACTTTATAGCCAAGTAGCACTCATGTAAGCACTGATCACTCATCCAAATAAGAACAAACCCTATGAAGTTGCCATTGGCTCATTTTGATATGGATCTCCAAAGACCCAATGATGTGACAGATTTGACTTTCGATATCTTTATATATATATTAAACATTTTTAAAAATTACTATTTTAATCTTCGACAGTGTGGGTAAACTTATGTGGTATTTATAAAATATAAACCCAATGTGTGTTAAAAAGTAGATGGGGCATAAAAAAGTTAATTACGTTCAGGAACGTGCAAAAATGTTGTTTTGCATTTGTAAGTTTCTGTCTTACCATGGAATATTCTTTTGAAAAAAGCATTAAATTTGTGGGGTGAAGGGATTCACTACTTATATTTTACCTCATGCAGCAAAAGATGCGTCTCAGAATAAAGTAATAAATTTGATAAATAAATAACCTTTTTATTTAGATTCCTATATATCTATGGTAGGAATGAGAGTGTGCACATGTTACGAAGTCACTTCTTGGGTAAATTAACCTCCATAAAAATCAAAATTCATTTATTTAACAACTTAAAAATTTAATATAAAAATAAAGTTATATTTTGTGTTGCCCTTTACAGTTAATTGATTGATGGGATATTTATATCGCGCTGGTATCCACGCCACTGTGGCATGCTCACTGCACTCTGGTTTTCTTAAAATCTATTAAAATAAAAAAAGTTTTTAAATATTTCTTTTTTTATACTTTTTTTATCATTTCCAATCCCCCATTAAGATTGGGGCAAACTGTTCCATAATTTTGGCGCTATCGCTTCAAAGGAGCGCACTCCGTAAGACTTTTTTCTGTGTTCATCCACATTGGGAACTCTCAATAAGTAATGTGTTGAAGAATGCAGGCTCTATAAGGATATATGTTTATAAATCAGTTACCTACTAGACAACTCCGCTCATCTGATGGGGGAAAACTCTCGATACCACGGCTCACCTTGAGACTCACGAGGGGCGCACTTTCGCATTTGTTGGCCAAACAATTTGGAGTAATCTTTCTGTCGCTCTCAGAAACAGCCAGACACTGGAGTCTTTCAAAACTGTTTTGGAGACTTATCTATTTCTCAAACACCTGCTGGGGTGATGTTGTCTAGCTATATCTTGTAGATGTATATTGGCCAGTGTTGTTTATGGTTGCAAGGTATAAAAGACTTAGAATGGGTTTTCTCGTATGTAGTTTTTTTAAATTTTGCATTTCATACTTCAATGGGGTATTTTTTTAGGTAATTCCTAATATTTGTAAGGCTCATTATAAATTAAAACAGTAGATACAATATTTGATGTCCACAAATGTTAGATTGATAATAACGGAAAAGTTGAAAAAAATGTATTTATTTTATAAACTGGAAATTAGCAAAATCAATTTTTTTAACAAATTTTATCCACAAAAATAATCTTCAAAAACTTTAATTAGGAGAATACTTTTATGATGTATACATTAGTTTATTTTTTTTTACAGCATGTGAAGCTTTGCAATGGTTATTTAAATACTAAATAAAATAAATAAATTACATTCGTGTTACCATATTCATATGATTTATTAGCTATCCTTTTAAAATACAAATAATATAACCGTGTAGTGCGGGAAAGGTGTAACCATGATAAAAACTCTTATTAAGGAATACATGAGTAATAAAAATGTTGAGAACCATTATCTAGTATAGAGCAATGGGGTAAATTTTTACTTTGGATATTTTTTCCCCACTTATCTCTGAGTTTATTGTGTAAAAATAGCCCTTTAGGGGAAGACTTTACCTTTTTATGTCATCTAAAATTGGGGATTTCGGGGAAAATATTGTGGGATCAGGTGAACTAAAGAAAAAATGCAGTGCTACAATCACGTCACGTACATTTTTAAATGCCTATTCAAATAAGCACCAACAATTAAAATGTCCCTCTCAGAGTATTATGTAATAAATTATTAAAATCAGTCACAAGTATCTAGCTGACAACCATTTCATACGATATGACCCCACGCTTACCTCACTTGCCCCGTGCCCGGCTAAACAGCCGCGCTCCCCAGACCCCTGGGGAGGTGAGCCCCCTCACCAGACCCCGGCAGGGGAGCGCGGCCGTTTAGCCGGGCACGGGGCAAGTGAGCCCCCTCACCAGACCCCTGGCAGGGGAGCGCGGCCGTTCGCCGGGCACGGGGCAGGTGAGCCCCCTCGCCAGACCCCTGGCAGGGGTGCGCGGCCGTTCCCCGGGCACGGGGCAGGTGAGCCCCATCGCCAGACCCCTGGCAGGGGAGCGCGGCCGTTCGCCGGGCACGGGTCAGGTGAGCCCCCTCGCCAGACCCCTGGCAGGGGATCGCGGCAGTTCGCCGGGCACGGTTCGCCGAGCTCGGGGCAGGTGAGCCCCCTCACACACGTTTTCACTATTTTATGTTTTTTATAAATTTATATTAACTAAAAAAAATCAGAAAATCATTACTCAAATATGCTTCAAGTATAGCTGATAAAGTGTCACTAAAACGAAAGCGATAGTTTCCCTTGAAAACACATTAAGGTTGAAGAATGGGCTATAAAAAATGAAATTAAAAAAAAAAAAAAAATTATAACTATTGAAAGATAATAGACGGCTATAACAGAAACATTAATTATTAAAAATGAATAAACTAAATTTAAAACACGACTTTTATGTTGAAATTCAAAACATTAATTTGTCTTAAAACGTATTGTTCAATTATTTAAAATGTAAATTGGAATATATAAATTTACATAAACAAAAGTTACTTTTGAATGGCATTTTTATGTATTTAAATAAAAAAAACATATTTTTTACTTTCTGAATTCAAAAAATGATTATTTGTTATCTAACTTCGTATTATTTACCCTAAGAAATTTAAAAAAAAATAAAACAAATTTCAAAATTTACTTATTTCCAAGAAAATAACAAATATTTTCATTGTTTTGGGTGTCTTTTAGACAAGACATGTTTCAATACTTCAAGTTTCTAGTTCTCTGGCAATGTTTCGAAATGGTTCTCAACCAAGAAAGTTTCCATTGATATCATTTAAAAATGTCTTTTCATCCTACATGGTAATGATGGAGCTCTATCCTTTTGCGTGGGTCAGGTTAGCCCCCTCGCACAACCCTTGACCGGCTAGCGCGATCCCCATGGCACGGGTCAGGCAAGCCTGCCCTCGCCCGACCCCTGACCGAGTAGCTCAATCCATGAGGGTTGCGGACCGCACCGGGTGATCTGAACATTGTTTCTCCACAAGAAGCGCTGTAACTTGGTGGAACATACTATTGAAGACAAATGTGAAATTTCTGTAGAAAGGAATGCAATGTTTCACAAGAGATTGGCAGGAGAACAGTTAATAGATGCTGGACTCTCTCTGCATGAAGAAGACAGTATGGAGATGCTTGATTGTAGCGATAGCTTTTATTCTGAACCCCAGATCAGATCATCTACGATCAAGAAAGTGT